AGGGAAGGATGGAGGGAGGGAGGGAAGGATGGAGGGAGGGAGGGAAGGATGGAGGGAGGCAGGGAAGGATGGAGGGAGGCAGGGAAGGATGGAAGGAGGGAGGGAAGGATGGAGGGAGGGAGGGGGGCCGGCAGCGCTGCGGCAGCGCTGCGGCCGCCCCCGCCCCGGCTCCCCCTCCGCCGTTGCCATGGGCTGCGGTTGCCACGAGTTACCGGATGAAGGCTGGGCGGCCCCGCTCCCTGAGTAGCGGGCGCGGGGCGGAGCGGGGCGGAGAGCGCGGCGGCGCCAGGTAAGGCTCTCGCCCCGCTCCGCGGCAGGCGGGGCAGGGCGCGAGCAAGGGCCGGGCCGGGGCGCAGCGGGAGCGGGATCTGGGATGCTGCCGTCCTTTTCCCTTTTTCCCCCGTTGGTAGTTCTGTTCTTTTTTCCCTCTCCCCCTTTTTCAGCCCTCCTGCCCGCTCGTCCCGGCGGCGGAGCCCCGCGGGCAGCCGGCGCTGCCGGAGCGCTCCGGCGGGCGCACACGCGCCCACGGCCGCGGCCGCGGAGCATCCACGGGCGCCCCGCCAGCCGAAAGCGAGCCCGAAGGCCACAGTTCGATTTCTGTTTTACAAAGCCACTTGAATTAATTTTTAAGGAGGTTTTGTTCCAGGAGGCAAAGAAGCGACTTAACCCGTTATGGTGCATTTTTAACACCGAACCAGAGAACAATTGTGTAATAATTTCCTAAAGCGTTTAGGCCTTTCGTGAAAAGAATCAACCCGAGACTGGAAATTATTATTTATATTTTTGCCACGTTGTAAGAGCTAGAGAAGAAAAGTAAAGCCCCAGGTCCTTAGCCCTGAGCCTAGTCCTGCAATTATAGGGAAATGACACAGGACCACACATGGTTTATTCTTCTTCTTATCCATACCGTGTGTAACAGAGGAAGTCACAAACATTTTATTGTTTTAATAATTAATGGTAATTATATAAAATTTAAGTATTAATCTGGAAAACAAATTCAGTATGTCACCTGTCAAAAAAATATGTGGACACTGAAGTTTGCACTGTTCTACAGTGTGGGATTTAGAGTATATATTTCTCTCTGTGCTTATAGAAATACATTGCGATGTAAACAATCTTCACTCCGAATACACCATCTTTGTGGAGTTTCTTTGCTATTCTTTTTGTAGAAAATGTAAAGAAATGAAAACCCAAACATTGTGTGTGTATACACAGTGTGTGTGTGTAGCCACACATATATTTATGTATATATACAAATACTACAAAAATAACCGAACAGTAAATTACACATGGTAAGCCATAAAGTGATTAGGATATTGATATTGAAATAAAGGAAACCTCACTGTCAGGTTTAAACATGAGCTAGAAAGTAGTGACTTGTTTTATTTAATTACTTAAAAGCTTTTAAGAAATCATCATAAAAATGAGGATGTAAAGCTATAAGCAAAAGAGGAAAAAAAGCTTTTGAATGCAGAATTATTGCAATTAGATATAATGTAATTTGATTTCTACTTCTAATTTATAAATTAGGTATCATCCTGTTTTTAAAAAAATGCTAGCAGGAAATTGTTAGCATTGTTCAAAACTAAAAAAATGAGGATCAAAGTACCAGTGACAACTGATCAAACTGTATGTCATAGTGTTGAAAAATTAACAAATTGTTAAAGTAAAAAAAGACATTAAAATTATTTTTTGTTTAACATTTACATTGGTAAAATTTACATTTAATGTTCCAATGAAACAAAATACTTAAAGCCTTTATATGTGCTTATACACAGCTGATACACAAAGGAGGCATACTAGACAGCATGGAGTACTTTCCTTCCCCCATTACAAAGAAAAATTCTAGTAACACTACCTACACAAACAACATTCAAAAGATAAATATTTGAACAAATTTCTGTCAAAGCTAAGAAGAAAGTTACAGTAGTCTTAGATTTTTTAACAGAATGACAAAATAAGAGAATAACAATAGAGCTATTAGAAAACAAATATTTATTTCAGAAACGTCTTCATTTGGAAAACACTCGCTGGCGTATTGATAAGCTCCTAGAATTAAAAAATACAATGAGCCACAAAGGCTGTCCAAATCTTGTGTTTCTGTAATTTTTGTCAGGTACTGAGAATGTGTTAGTAAGCCAGAACTGTAAAGTGCTTCAAGAGTTTAGGTTAATCTTTTAAAACAAAAGAAAAACTTGCATTGTCTTAAATAAAAATTCTTCTCAACATTGTTTTTGCTTTTAAATCCTTCCCACCTTTTAAATAAATTTGCTGAACAATTTTTTTGTAATGTTCCATCTCAAAAATAATATATTAAAAAAATCAAGTAATCAAAATCTCTGACTGGCAGTAACAGTTATTTTTAAGCTACTTTTAGTGGTAACTTGTTGCTTTAATTAAAATTATCACTTTTACATTAAAAATAGCATTGCTGCTAACTCACATAGAAGCTGAGACAGTGAATAGATACATTTGTGCAATTCAGTAAGACTGAGCAAAAAGAAACACGCATATTTATCTTACAAAGTGCTACCATCAACAAAATACAGTGGCTTAAAGTAGTTACCTAAGAGATGTAATTCTCAAGCTACTAAAACCTGTTTCTAAAATTACACAGATTCCCAGCTGGATGCTTTAAAAGAAAAAAAAAAAACATGCCCACACATGTTTATGCTACCCCTTACTAGCTGTCTATTGAATAATCTATTGTTTCTGTAATTCACAGGTTTAAAATAATCCCTTCTGAAAGTAATCGCAGATTTCTTTAAAGAGAAAAAAAATAAAAAAAATAAAAGGGCATGTATATACACCCATTTCTAGGCCAGTAACTACTGCACTGAAGTTAATGGGAGCTTTGCTAGGGTGATCAGACCCCCTAGCTCTTTTTAATAGCATTAAATGTCAAATATAAATACAACACCACAGTGAAACATATTCCTTTGACAGAATCTGGGACAAGACACTATGCAGCTGCTGTGAACAATAAAGAGCAAAACTGACGTTTAATCAAAATATGTGTTGGTGGTTAAGAAGTTGTGTTCAAACCTGCCTTTTGTTTGTGAAAAAAGTCAATATTCCAACGTGGTAACTACAGCCACAATGAAATCAGCAGCTCTTGTTACTCATGGAGAGTGGAGAAGGCCACATCCATGCAGGGTGTTACAGCTATGTGATTATCATCATCTCACAGAGGGAGATACTCCCCACTTCATCTGCGGAACTAAAACACCTCTACCAGCACCATCAAATACATGTCTAAAGTTAAACGTGGTGGGTGAAATCTTGGCCCTAGTGAGGTCAGTGCAAAATTCCACCATTGGTTTCAATGGACCTCATCCAGGATTTTCACTGGGAATGAGTATCCATAATTCCCTGGGAGCTGAGAATCTCCAGCAAGCCTAGAAATGATGTAATTTTTATTTATATTTCTAAACTTCTAAGCAACCATGCTCAAGAATTTTTGCCTTCAGTACTTACACATGATAAAACCAGTCTTTCCATAAACATTACCAGGAGGACCAGAGGAAGATGTATTTATATCTCAAATTGTCAGCAGCATATAGTTTGTATGAATGTTGTTTTGCTGATGTTGCTGAGCTACTTTAAAAAGTGAGTACCTTGGTGGGGTGTGTAATTTCATCACCAATGTCAAATGACTTCTAAAGATGAAACTTCTCTGATGCAAATGACTAAAAGATGCTTTAAATATGTTTGATATTACATACTAACTTTTAAGGTGAGGAATTAAATTATTTTTCAAATGTGAGACACGACTCACTGAAGGAATTATTTTAACTGCCACATACGTCAGAAGAGCATGATTTACCCAATACTGAGATTTTAATAGTCACAAAACCGTAAATAGGTAGCATGTAGACCTTCACCAAGATACAATTTTTAAAAAATCACCAAAAAGATAGTATTAAGGTCTGTTCTGAGTATTTTGTAAGGACATATGGTTGCATTAACAATGGGTCTTCTAGGTACATGTCACCAGACAGCCCTGTTTGTGTGGTACACATAACCAGTAAACAAAGCAGAAACTGCTCTGTACTGTCCTTAAGGTAGCAATACAGGAATGATTTTTCATGATTCTTCAGAAGCTGGGCTTGCTTTACATCCACATGAAATGCTGTCATCACTAGGTCCAAGCCCGGAGGATGAACTGCAGAAAAGGGGAGAGGGGGGGAGGAAAAAAAAAAATAAAAGGAGGAAATTGGTTTTCACAACACACTCAAAGCCTGAGTAACAGAGGAGAACTTTAATTATCTCCAGTCACAAAGAGAGACAGGAAATTTGGACTTTTAATTAGCCATTTGGAGTGCAGTTGGATATTTTTTTAGCAAGATAATTTAAACGCGAATAATTCAAGTCTGACTAAATGAAATTCACATAATCAGAATGCAGATAATTGAATTTCTACTGCATTCATTAATTCAGTGTGGAGGTGTGTGTGAAGACTTCTATGATGAGCTGTCACAGCTCAATAAAATCTCAGTCAATTAATTTTTTCATTATCTTAGTATTACATCAACAAAAAAGTGAAGCATGTGCGTGTGTATGTATGGATATATAATCTCAGAAAGTAAGGATATACAGAAATCACCTCTCTGAATCAGAGTCTGCATCGTCTTTTCCTTTTTTTTCCTCTTCATCTTCTATAGGAAAACGTCTGTTCAGAGAGGCAAAACTGAGAATTGCATCAGCAACAGAGTATTTGGTCTGTCCAGAAACACAGGCCTCCATATCTTCTGGGCTTAGCTGAGTCTGTAGGAAGAGGTGAAGCCTACTATCTGAAAGCAATAATGCATCTTGTAGGATCCTGGAAAAGGAAAAAAAGGCAAATGTTTATATATAACCTGCACGAACACACACACACACACATACATACTCTAAAGTGTTTTCCCAGAACAAATATTAAATGATGTCCTACTTTTAAAGTTTTCAGTTGAATCCTAAATCAGTAACAGAAGGCAATGAACATATTAAAATGATTAGGTGCGTGTTACTTTCTTATTACATTATTTGGAATTTTAGGTGAGTAAAAACATGAAGCTAATAGTTAGGCACATCTGCTATTAGAATAACTTCAAGGACATTTCTTCCATTTAACCATCTGCTATTACCACATGGATCAGTTAATGATTTTTAGGCAGTTGGAGGCATATACTCTTACAAAAATTTGGTCTCTCTTTTTTTTTTAATAACTAAACTTTTATAAAAAATTACAAGTCACCAATTTGTTTGATGGAGTAAAGAAATGTGTAGAGAGACAGTGTGTAGGCAGAACAGATTTCATACATGTGCAACATCAGGACTTTGGAATACCTGTCAACAACTGAGCCAACACTAGCCAAAATTATTTACACTGTTACTCTGGTTTTAATTTACTTGCAGATAGTTTTCAGGGACTCTTAAATTTTATTTAATTCCAGCTATTATTTTAAAAAATAGGTTTTAAAATTTGGTTGATATATATTTTAAATTAAGCCTCCAAATAAATCTAGCACACAGTATTTACTTAAAACACATGAAAGTAAACAAAATACAATACATTCCAGTAACACAGTTGCAGAGAAACCTTTTCAAGCCCTGAGAATTGAGGATCATCATCTGTATTTTTAAGGAAAAGACAGGCAACTTTTCTTCAACATTTCTGTAAAGAAGGAATTCTTTACTATACAAATAGTAAAATTATTAACAAGAAACTTCTTCAGTTTGTGTGTATCATTTTACTCATGTAATAGAGACATCAGAGGTTATGACCACGCCAAAGAATACTCCACGGAATATTATTAAAATATCTTTAAACATCTCAAAGCTACTCAGAGTCAATACTTACCTATTTATACCCATTTAGGCTACAGTTTTTACCAAAAAAAGTCATTGCTGTACAACAGGAAACAAGAGATGACATTAATGTACGAACTAGTAAGAGCAGAAAGAAATATTGCATTTTAAAGGTACTCTGACTAAAATGAAAAGTGTAACTGATTAGTTCCTTCTCTTGAATAAGATTAATGGTGTGTTTGGACTGTAATGTTTTAAACACAAATACGTTCTGAAAACTGTTCTCTTAAGCGGCCAAGATTACAATAACATTTAATAAACACACAAAAGCATTTCTGGCTTCATTCAAGCCCATAAAAATCTGTCAAATTAAAATAAGTAGTAAGAGATATCTACGCGAAACCACAAGATACTTGTGTGCATGCACATTTCACTTGCCTAGATGAACACACAGTCTCAACCAAACAACTCCAACTCTGACACCTTCCAATGGGGAAATGTTTCCAGCCCTAATGATCTACCAGGTGCGGGTGAAATTGAGTCCCAGAAAGACCAGATTTTGCTGAAGTTCAAAATAAGCACACTTTTCACACACAGAGAAAGCCTTTTTAATCCAATCCAAATTCTCACAATTTTAATAACAAATAGATGCCTGTAAAATCAACGTGGGCAAATGTATTAATAGATAGAAAAACTTATTTGTAGTCTAAAATCCAGCAAAGGCTGTGTAAAAATGATTCAAAACAGAATTTACAGGTCCACACACCTTGACAGCAACAGCTTCATGATTACAGTTTGAAAAGCCATCATTCAGCAGCCACTAAAAGAGGATTTCAGCCTTGACTCTTGATAAACCCACTTTCCAAACAAATACAAACATTGCAACAAAAAGTAGAGGTATTCCAAACAATATATCCATTTTTATAGTTATGCAATCGGGAGAGTAAATATTCTACTTCTCTTAAAAAAAAAAAAAAAAGAAAAGAAAAACAAAAGAGAAATAATGTGCCTGCATTTCCTGCAGAGTAACTACAGTTACTGTTTTTCCCAGGCACAGTGAGGAGATGTACATTTCTGCAATTCTAACATTTGCATGTCTAATGCCAAGTAACACAGTAAAATGCCAAGTCATTAAATTCTGTGAATGGCATCTGGTTTCACAGATTTTCCTCTTGCTGTACCTTCAAAAGTTTCCTGCCAACCAGTGAAAACACGAGTAACTAACTGTTCATGAGATTACACTATACTTACAGCTCTGTTGCTGTTTGAAATGTATTTTATTTTCTTTATAAAATAACGGGTAATCTTTAAAATTGATTTTAGATGGTTTGAGGCATTACACCAGAGAAGTAATGAGCACTAATGTCAATGATATTGGACACAAATTCATTTTAGCTTTATTTCATGTCCAGTACAATTCTGCTAAGCCTTGAACTGCTAAAGCACTGTTATTAACTCGGCAGTAACCTAACACATGGAACAGCAAACAAAAGTGATAAGAGTACAGACTGATCAGGACCTCAAGGCTACTGTCCTTTTTCTGTAGCTATAATTCAATTTCCAATTTTACTTTACATTGGAATCATTATTTCACAGTAATTTTCTTTTCTGCTTCATAGTGCCATCTGGAGGTGAAGGGAGTGAAGAGAAACCAAGGTGCAGAAATGGAAAGATGTTCATAAAGCTAATCATAACTTCACTCATATATGTATATGTGTGTGTTTACTATGTGTTCACATGGAGACCAAACACTCAATACATTCTGCAAGTCATTTAAAACCATCCTGAAAGCAGATATACAAATAACTTTTACTTGGTTGTATCCTTGAAGAATTTGTTTTCTCTTAAAAAATAACTGCTGCTTTTTCCACCCCCTCTGAACCGACAGGTTAGACTGCTTTTTAATTGCAAGATTCAAGCAATCAAAATGTAAAATAAATTCTGCACTACCCATAAGTGCTATGCTTTCCTGCTCAAAATACTCTTTCTTCAAGGGAATACCCAAACATTTGTCACCAGATGGTACTAGTAGTATTAAGTGCTGGTATAGCAGTTGCTCTCTGGAGGCTTTTGCTGTCCTGGGGCTCACTATGTGAAGGGCTTGACATTTAAAAGGTAGACTTGGCTTCAAAGACTTAAAAAATGAAAATTACAAACCACCACCTAACAAATTAAAAAGGCAAGAGGAAGGGAGGAGCGTCACAACATTAATACTCGGATGTCTCCGCGGAGGCTGGACGCGTGCGCAGTCTCGGCACAGCAGGAGCGCTCTCAGCGCTGCTTCTGCACTTTCACCGCAGCCAGGGCCAGGCAGGGCTGTGCTTACAGCGATGGAAATCAGCGCTCCTGGAAGAGTCACGGCTCACGGCAATAATTCCTATAAACTGACTGAGCATATTGAAGAGAACAACAGACCTTCTATGCACGCCTGCAAGAAGAACGAAAGGCTAAACCCTGCAAGTCTTGATCCCATCAGTAGTCATTACTTGTCAGAGATTTCACTCCTCTTGGCCAGATTGCTCACATGCATAATGACTACTTATGTGATTAAGGGGGCTGCAAGATAAGGCTCTACATTAGAATTAGAGATAATAAAGTAATTTTTTATTCACAGACATGTGAATCTTTTTAAGCTTTCTGTAAATGCTCGTGATCTCTAGACCTTTAAAGAAGAAAGACTGAAAAACATCACAAGCAGAAGAAATAATGTCATTTTTGAGGAAATGCTGGATACTATATGAGGAATATTTATATTTTCCTGTGTTATGGCAAAAATATTTACAAAAGAAAAAAAGCATGTATTTTTTCTTATTTGGACAAGGTCCAAAATCTGGTTTTCTTCAACATGATTTTATTATGTATATTATACACTGTTCTGCTGGAGAAAAACAACATATGGCTGAACAGTACAACTTAATCCTAACTAAAGATTTCCTGTATCTACTGTAACCTAATACAATGACAGATGCATACTTGAATGTGTGTGGAAGGTTAACACTCCGATTTTGTTTTCAACAAATTTACTCTGCCCATTTACATCAGCTCACAAGAGCAAGGGAAAAACCCAAGGAGCTGAGAGATGGATGACAGCCTGTGCTGTGGTGCCCTCTACTGAGCATCCAGCCCCTCAGCCCCAGCCCACACCAAACAAAGCCCCAGTTTCCTCTAAAAAGGCTGACTGTGTTTCTTCCTTCACTTTTTATAAGGGAGGAAATGTTATTGATATCAAGCAACTGTGAAGCAACTGTTGGGGATGTGATAATGCGTGCGGTTAGGAGAAGATTGAGCCACATGTGCCTGCTACGCATTTTTCCCTCACCAGATAGGAAATACCAGCAAGGCTCCACTGGAGAGAGGAAATTTGCCCAAGGTGGTTCCACCTGCCCCACAATTGCCAATGCTCCTGCCTGAGCCCCTGGTGGGGGTAAGCTGCATCTCCCACTTTCCACATCACTGGGACAGCACCCAGTGGAGACACCTCCAGAAGAGACTGCTGACCCAGCACCAGCTGCAGCTCATGGGACTGCAGTAGAAAAGGCAAGGAGGTGCTTGACACCAGACAACTTCAGAAAATGGCTCTGCCTTAGGCAGATGAATTTTGGGTGGCTTCCTCACTCTGGCACCCAGCAAGCCAATGCATGGCCTTCTGCAGGAGCCACACTGTAAATGCCCTCTCTTCCCTGTGGATCTATGCATTTAATTTCTCCAAACTCTGTGTCTTCCACCCCATCATAAACTGCGTATCTGAAAAGTAATTGAAGAGTAATCCTTCTTCCTAAATCATGTAAGTTTTTGGGATCCAACTATATTCAATAAAAAAAAAAGTCATCAATTGAACTCAACTTCATTCAAAATGGCTTTGTTAATTCATTTTCTTATGAGCAAACCCGACTCATCTTCTCTGAGGTTAATCTAAATCCCCAAGTTAGACCTGCACATCTCCAAATGGATGAAAGTAAAGAGGATCTTGCAGAAGTTAAAATTGTAAGACAATATTTTAATTTTGACCTCTAGTTTAAGAATAAACTTTTCTGTGAATTCACAGGTATCCTCAAAGCACAAGGATACTTAGCAGGAAAAACACATAATTTTCCTTATTCTTGCAAAGTAATTTATAATTGAAAAGGGGCTAGCTGACTTCCGTTAATGCAAATGGCCTCTTGAAATATTAAATTATGCCCAGACAAGAAGTAAGCTTTACAGCTCTTCATCACTCAGAGATAATAACCTGTACGACAAGTAGATCCTACCCTGCATTTGTGCAGTAAAACCAAATCAAAATGGGACACCTGTTCCCAGATTTCACCAAAGTTACTGCTTAACTTCCCAGCTGTTGGCCTAATTCTTACGCTACTGTGCTCAGCACGGAGAGGCTTCACAAAGGCTCTAAGTACACACTGTGCCCAGTGCTAACTCACCCTGGAGTGGGAAGTGAGGAAGGACAACAGAACTCTGTAGCCATCCACATATAGGCAATATGGAAATGTTCCAGGGCCAGAAGCTGAACACTAGGGAGCCTCCAGCTGCTCAATCCTGGCTCCTCAGGCACATGGCTCCTGCACAGGCAGGCACTACAGCAATCTCGTCACAGAGCACAGGGCACAAGCCCGGTCATACAGGCACAGAGCACAAACTGAGACTTTGAAAGATCTAAACCCCCTCTTCAGAGATGTGTTGGATCCTGGTAACACCTGGAATTCCTGCATCACAGGCAGGCATTTAAAAATGTTACCTGCGAACCTCTCCCCAGACAGGTCCACACAGTCTCAAATCTAATTTCTTCCCACTGCCACAAAGGAATGCAAGTAGGATTGTGAGCTTTTGCACAGTGCCTTCTGTCATTGCTGGGGTGAATGGAACTCTCAGCAGTGTTGGGTTAGGGTCCCCCCTTTCTAATGTATCAGAAAGGTTCTGCTTCACTTGATTCATCTATGTAACATATATATATTGTACATATACATATATTGTAACATATGTATATTGTATGCATATATGCATATGGTACACGTAGAACATACATATATACAGAATATATGTGTATATTTCACACACACAAATACATGTTATACTATTTTATATTTTTTATATATTTTATACTAATTCTTGTTAGGGAGTTCCACAAAATTAAATTTCAGAAAAAGAATCGCAACCTTTGGTTCAGCATCATAAATGGGGGTGGTAGGAAAGCATCACGGCAGCTGAGCCAACAGGAAGATGCCTTCTATGAGCAGCAGCAGCACAGCAGAGCCAGCCAGCAGAGGGCAATGGTACAGCACATACAGCACCATGCCACTGCATCTCAACACAACCTCTGAAAATTCCTTCCAACTGCTCCACAGGGCTGAGAGAAAGCTGACGTTTTCCTTGCACTCAAATTCAAACATTTAAATCATTACCTTGAGTTGCCTCTTTTCCCACTCCTGGACTAACAGCAGCATGATGAAATATTCCACATGCTGTCATTTTCTACTGTCAGTACTCATTTAAGCTACAGTCATCCACAAAATTGGAGCATGAAGATGTCTTTTAAGATAATCTACCTTTCTGTTCTGCCTTTTGAACTGCAGACAGCAGTTGTAAACATTTCTGATGCTGATAAACCTTGTTACTAGACTGGCCTCTTTCAAAATAAGAGTGTTTTTTGAAATGCACTACTCCATGGGGCAGCACAGCTAAGAGAACTGCTCAGACCCTGGAACCTGAGCTACCACACTCTTCATATTATCACTGACATGCTTCTAGGAGCACAGCTCTTCCATTTCACTGCTTTTCTTTCCTGAGGTGTAAAAATACCCTCTAATCTGTTCCTGCTTTCTCTTCCCTGTCTCACATGCCTTCAGCAAGTATTTATTTGGTGACCTTTTGGCCATAGATCCTATATAGCTGCATGCAGAATATTATTCCTGCAGCAGTTAGCTGTCCCTGCCTTCAGCTGCTAAGCCTAACAAATATACCTCGGGACCAATGATTTGTTGTCTGTTAGGGAGGCTTATAATACACTGACTGGAAGGAAGATTAATAGTTTCTACTTGCAGTGTTTCACCATGCCCTTACCCTGAGCAGCAGCTAAAGGCAGCCAGCAGAGGTACACACAGCTCCTGCCCCAGGAGCTCTGAGCAGCCTGCTCTCACACCAGCAGTGCCAGGGCACGACAAGAATGGCAGAGAAAAAGTAGAAAATTACACCAACAGGGGCTCAGCCACTGCAGAAGGTGAAGTGGTCACAGCAGTGGGACTGAGGGATGCAGTACTGAAACACATACACTACTTCCTTGTAATGCAGGTCAGGGTCTAGCTAAACGTGATGCATGATTTTATACAGATTGCAGCTGCACTGAAAATGGTCACAGCTGCTAGAGCTTGCTTATGTTTAGTGGGACTGGTAAACAAAGTAATTTGCATTATAGGAAAGCTCTGTGTTAGGAGATCTCACTAGAGAATTTTCCCAGGCTCACAGGGGTTCAACCCACAAAGACATTGATTTTCCATGAACATAAAGGGGGAGTCTTTCTTCTTTGTACAAGAATATCAAGCTCCTTATTGAAAGCTAGAAATAGACATCACAGTGAAAGATCTCCCAAACTTAGTATGCAATTGAAAAATAATTTAAATTTAAGCCTATTATCTATAATCAATGCAATGAAACACAATGGAAAAGCACCAGCTGAAGTCTCCTTATAACCAGCCAATAGAGCTGAAGTCACGTGTATGAATTATGACAGTACAAGTAAAAAAATATAACTAAACATGTAGCATGTACAGATGACCACATGGTGGCTCTCAAGTACCAGAGATGAGCTATTTTAAACCAGAAATTGATGACCTCATAAAAATTCCAACACCTCTAGATAGGCTGTACTCACTTTTCCAGAAATTCTTGCAGACCCTGACGGCGATGGTCCACGTGATTAGGATTGTTCATATTGAAAAAGGGAGTTCCGGATGGCAGTTCAGGTAGCTGTCTTTATAAATAGGAAAAAATATACAGTTAGAACCACATGTGAAACAGCAGAGAAAAATGCAAAAAGCAAATGCCAACCCCAAGCATATGAAAATCATGGGTTATGTTCCAGAAGCTCCTGAAATCAATTTGGGAACATAAGGTTGAGAAACTGAAGGGCTTCTCACACATCTCAAAGGGAAAAAATAAATTAATCTGATTTTTCTGGTTCAGTTGTTAAGCCTGCATCCATGTCTGGCTGGGTCTCTTATGGTGCTTGGAAGGCCTAAGCACATTGAAGAAGAACACAGAGGAGGTACAAACACCTACACTAGATTGTTATTTCTGCTACCTGTGTATAGCAAAAGAAAACACAGATCAAGTCTCTTACAAATTAGAGGAGGGCTCACCAAAAAAAGGCTATAAATACAAACCACATTCTTTTGGGTTTAAAGCACATACAATGCATTCTACAGAATAAACTTGTGCTAGTAAGAAACACAGGATACTTTCCAGATCTGATTTTTGTAGTTCTCTGAATTAGGAGGAAACAATCCTTCTCTCCATGACCAACAGATTATTAAATAGTCATATATAAAGTTGCTCACATAAGCACTGCATTGCTCTGAAGCCTCTGCCGGAGCCAAACAAATTCTCGATAGCGTCGTCTAACACAGGATGTTTTCCTTGTAAAGCATATACTGTTTGTCTGTTGGGAAATAAAAAACATTTACTTTGCAAATCAGCTTAAGCTAAAGTGCAGGCATGGTACTAACAACACATCCAAGATGTTACATTAATGCCCGAGACACCAATGGAAAGCTTGACATTAATTCAGTTTATGATAAGGACTGTGCTTTACCTCAAGCAGGACTGGTGATGGTTCCTACTGCTTCTCAGGGAAATATATTACATTGCTTTACTTTTAAAAGCAAGAGATTTGGATTACAATACAACTTACAGTAACAGGAAAAACAGACCTCAGAAAAAGGTTTCAGTAGATAATGTCAATCTCTTCAGGGAAAAAAGATTTTTAGCTATTCTAGTTACAATCCTGAAAACAGGTACACAGAGTTTTTCTAGTGTGCAGTCCCAACTTAAACCAAAGAAACCAATACGACTGCTCTCTGCAAGTAGCAGCATTTGGAATTTTTCCCACAGAACACTACTAATTCATTAGGAAAATGCCAATTCATCAAAAGAGAAACAATTTGTGGAAATTAAATACTTTTGCCAAATTTCCCCATGGAGCATACATTTAGATGAAATCCCACATACTAGACAGGACTCCATTAGTAAACTGCCTGCAGTCCAGCCCACACTCCCTGCCTGCCAAGAGCCATAACTCCAGCACAAAGATGTCAGCCTCCTGGAACAGAGGAGCACACCCAGGATACCGCACAGTTTAAGAAGATAAATGCTCTAAGAGCTGGGTAGAAGGGGAACTCAGCTGGCCTAAAAGCCAGGCAGACACAATACTTGGAGTCCACTAAGAAGTCTGGATGGTAGGACTGACCTAGGGATTAGTCTCCAAAAGCCCTGGCACTGTGGTGGCAGGAAGTTGAGTTGATGCTTAATAGCTTCAGAGATGCCAAGTGATAGATCATATATCACTGTATGCTGAATTTGGATTGGGGAGAGTTAATTTCCTTCAGAGTAGCTGGGGCTGTGTTTTGGATCTGTGCTGAAAACAGTACTGGTAACCCAGGGATGTTTTAGTCACTGCTGAGCACTGCTTGCACAGAGCCAGGCCTTTTCTGCTCCTCACCCCAGCCCACCAGCAAGCAGGCTGGGGGTGCATGGGAAACTGGGAGGAAACACAGCTGGGACAGCTGATCCCAACCCACCAAAGGGATATTCCATACCATATGGCATCATGCTCAGCAACAAACAAGGGTGGAGGTTGGC